CTCCTTTACTCCTCACCTTGTTCCTCAGCTGCAGACTGCTCAGCTGCCAGGTGCTCATCTCGACAAGCAGTCAGGCGTTGCAGGAGGTAGCTGGAATGACATTCAATGCCCTCCCAGGCAGGATCTCCACTTGCTTCTAAATTTACCAGGTTCCTGTTAACATTCATTATCATGAATTCGAAAATGTTAAATCAAGGAGGCCAGTGATACAGATTTTAGGAATTCAAGAATTTCTTTCCCAGTTTTCCAGGTTTGAGATCATGCATATTCCAGGTTCTGTTTTGCACATTACATACACATTTCTTTGTATTTTGTTATTTAATCTTATGTTACTTGTGCCCATTTCTTTCCCGAATGAATACTGGAATGAGGTATTTCATACAATTTTAAAGAAACTTCTGCCAACTTTCACATTCTCAATTTTAATTTGCAAGAGTAAGCAAAGGCAATAGCTTTGCACGAGGTCTTCTCAGACTAAAAAGCATCTGAAATTCCATCTAAAAGCACAGGTTATGGATTACGAAGTAACAAATGCTTTGATGTTATGATCACATGAGGATTATATGGAAGATGATACTATTAGCTTTATCAGAGGGGTGCAATGTAGATCAAAAAATAGGTGAATGTGTTCCGGTGAGACACTAACATTCACACATATGCTCCTGCCTGGATTAAGCACAGAGTGGATGAGGAGCCACACCGTTGCCACAGTAAATTTCATAAAAATGCAAAGGAAGCCCAAAAAAAGAACTGAGATTGAGACTGAACAAGGGTTGGTCCTGGGTTTGGTGGCCGGAACCACGTGTATGTCGCGAGTATCGAAAAACAGCTTTACCCCAACTGTCACTCAGAATTTTAATCAGATAATTATATATTTCAAATTAATACACGAGGTGGTTTCATGCGGGTTTATCTGTACTTTCTACCATGTCGGCTGTGTGGCTGACAAAAAATTGATATCTTTACAGATGTATGGTGTCAGCTACATTATAGCAACATGATACCAATTCTAAGCCGAGAGTCAATTTTTGAAATAGAAAAAAGGTATAAAAATTACAAGGCTTACAATCGGTTAGATACGATATACTGATAGAAGCTTTCCTTTTTATGTGCACTATCATTCGGGGTCTGATTTTTCAGATATCAGAAACAAAATCATGTTATTTTGTTCACTGATCTTTGGAGAACTTACAAACTTATTTGTATCAAGTCAAGTCTGGCTACTCTTTTGGCTGGAATGGAATGGAATCAAAGCTTAGTGATGGACTGAATTGTATTACAAGTTCATTGAATTTCTCGTAACAGATGACGAAAAATCAAAACCAAGGTAAGTAAAACTAATCCGTAACCAAAAATGAGGATAGAATAATGAATTTGAAGGACCCCCACAACAAAAACCGCTGTGGGGCCTCCTGCTTTGGCACTGTATGTGCTGGCTCCTACCCATCCATGTGGCAAGTGGCTCAAAGTTGATTTACCAGAGTTCCAGAGAACTAGGAATTTGTGGGATTGTATATCCACAAGACCATTTATTTCACTTACATTCCTTATTTTCAACCGTCATCAAGATGAAGTACTTAATTTACACTTGAATTGAATTCGCTGAGATATTTGAATGTAGTTAGCGGTGCCATTACAAATATTCTGGTTTTCAAAGATGGCCACCCAGAAAGATTTAAAGTAGCAGAAATGTACATAAGAAAAAGTGGATAAAGATGCTAATAGTAGTAAGTGTCACTTTCCTCACTGTACCTGATAATTCTTTTCTGCTCTTCTAGGGTGGAAGGCATGTCCTTGAGCTTGATACGCAGTATTTCTCGAAAGTTATTAATTCGTTGTTCCACTTCCACTAGAACTTTCTTGAAGATCTGCAGCAACAATCAAATGTATGTCCTAATAGTGTCACAAGAAAAATGCATACAAAAATCATGCCAATTGATTAAGGAAAAAGAACATTATCAAAAGACATCAATGTTTGAACACAACAATTTGAACATAAAAATTAGTATTGGGATCACACATGGTATTTGCAGTCATTGTTTTATGAGAGGTAGAATAAGAAACAGTCTGATTATAAATAATTCTAATGTTAATTCAAAGTAATTTTCTGCACATTGAAATATTCAATGAATAGCTTCACATGTAGAGTTTCGCTTTGAGAAATAGAGCTATGTACCTTTCATTGATAATAAATGGCCTGAAATGATGACTTATCGACTGAAATTATTATCATGAAAAATTACCATGTATGCAAAAATACCATTCTTACCCAAATATAAGACAACTCAAAAATAACACAACCCCTGTTTGTTTGTTTTTACTTGAAATTGGGGGGGGACACCTGAATATAAGACGACCCTTGTTTTTATAACTTGAAATTAGTTCCCATCTGGATAACGAAATTAGAAAAAAAGAAAAGAAAAAAATTATTTACATATTAATTAACATTATTGTTATCCATTAATCATTTCGTGCATATCAGTTTTTGACACACTCTACATAAAGTCAACATCTACTTCACCACATTCACTTTAATCATGTCCCTCAATCATCATCATCACTTGTTTCATCATCAGTCAACTCATGTCCATCATTCTCACTCTATAACACAATATCTTCAGTGCCATCCAGATTGTTGCTTACAAAGCACTTCTTGAAACCTTTTATTATGGATTCAGTAGAAATAGTATTCCCTGCAGTTAGTATCCACCAACTTGTCCAGCAAAGTGCTTTGAGTAGAAGATAAATTTTCTGGGCTGGTAGGCCATGGTCCAGTTGGCATTGAAGGGCAGTCACCAGTCGCCAGCCAGACGCCACCCCGAACACAGCACCCGTGACCCTGCCGCCACTGAAGATGTCCACTGCAGACGTGGACGAAACGTTTGGCCCTTCAATGTCAACTAGACCACGGCCTACCAGCCCGGAAAATTGATCTTCTATTGACTCCAGCCGTGAAAGCCTACAATGCTATATAAAGTGTTTTGATGTTACCAGAAGGAGTGAATGGGCAGTTCCCTAATAACAGCCACTCACCATATTGGAGTCCGAGTTGGTACTTGAAAGTTTTATTCACAGTCACCCCAAGGACTTGAAATTGTGAGTACCATACCTCCTGGTATCACTACTATGTCTGTGTTCAGACAAACAACTTTCTTTTTCATGTCTTCTGTAAGGTGGCCCCTAAAGGCATCAAGGGTTAACAATCCTCTCTGCTGTAATAGGGCTCCCAGTCACTTCTCCCAAACTTCTTGAAGCCAAGACATCATCAAACTTTCAGTCATCCACCCAGATTCATTGCATTTAAAGAATATTCCATTTAGCAGGTTTTCTTTGGACAAATTCTTTCTTTCCAGGATAACAAATGGTGGTAGCTTCCTCCCATCTGCCAACACTCCCAGCATGACCATAACACACCTTTTCTCATTTCCAGATATTTTTATTATTACTGTTTTACACCTTTTTCTAGCCACTGTTTTGCTAGAAGGCATGTTGAAGTGGAGTCTCATTAGCATTTCCCATTTGACTTAATGAAGGATTGTGTTCATGGCACAATTGTATAATGTACTTTTGGTACTCCAGAAGGTTCTGATCATAATCTGCTGGCAGCTTTTGTAATAAGAAAGTTCTTCAACGCAGACTGAACCCTTTCCTCCTCATAAACAGTATGCTCCAGCCGTCACTTGCATTGAATTCCTGTCAGAGAATGTTCCTCCTCTTGCTATGTGTATTCCTTTCATGAGATTGCTGTTTATACAAATTCCAAAACCCTTGTTACAATTTTCTATAAGGAATACGACAACCTCATCATCAATTTCTGTACGGTGCCCCACTTTTGGTCCACGGAAACATTTCCCTGTAGAATTCCAAGATTTCATGTGTTCCTTCATACCTCTCCAATGCCATTCATTTGCTTCACTTATTCCATAATGTTGTGCAGCTTTACTATTGTTTGTTCAGCGAGATTAATTACTTGTAATTTAAAGTTTGCATTTTTTTTGCATAGCTATTGCATCATTCCCCATTTCTGTTTAGTGTTTCCACTTCCTCTTTTCTCCATGTGTTTGCTATTGACACACCATAATATATCAGGAACTAGTACAGTAAACTACATAACACAACCACCAAGCACAAACTCAACTACCAAACTACTACTACTAAAATCGTGCAACTCAACAACATGGATAGGGGAGGAATACTCATGGCCTAGGTGCCTCTCTCTCATTGCCCATAAGGAAGGCTTTGGCGATGTCACAGCTGTTGCAAGACAGCTAACTGGCACTAAGAAAAACTTCTGTCCTATCTAAAAGCTTCTGTGTAACAGTTAGGAAAATTATTCAATATCTTATTACTTCAATTATATTCATATCCAACAATAATAAAAAAACAGGAGTTTCTATTACAAATGACTTATCTTTGTGTCGTAAACTTGAACTACATAACAACAACATAATACCACTGATATTTCTATTTAATAATAGAAATATCAATGGAATTATCAATGGTATCTAATTAGTTCATTGATATTGCATTTTTCTTCATTATTGAATATAGGACCCCTTGTTATATATATGTGGGTAAATATGGTGCTATGCATTATGGAAAATAATCTTCACTAATTTTTTTATCATAAATATATACATTCAAATTTCCATTAACCTTTGATTATTAAAAGAAAACAAATGTGCTATTTGGCTACAAATTTTTGAAGAAAAAGAACAATTTGGAAATATGTTCTTCTACGAAAATGCTTGTTTTTAAGCTCTGGCTCATTTCAGTACAATTACCAAAAGTTTATGGTAAACAATAAAAGGAAGGCAGAGTAGATTATGATCCTGGTAACAATCAATGATATTCATTGCTGATTCCTTCACGTAATGTTTGACACACTTACAGCAATATCTGTCTCTCCAAAAAGATTCTTGGCTCTGGCATAGTCATTGATAACCACATCATAATCTCCTTTTCGAATGTTGCGTTCAATGCTGACTGGTAAACAGAAGAGAAACTTATAGCGATGCAGCACACCCAGAGCATTGCGTGTAGCATCGGCACGATCGCGTCGAGCCAATACTTCCTCAAAAAGCTTATTAGCTTCCAACATGGATTCTGAAACAAGTGAAAGAAAAAGAAACAGGTGAGATTTTTTGGCCTCTAAACTGAACATACTGAACATTTTCATGAAATTACATACACTTACAAAATTATTGTTTCAGATCTTTTTCTAAAAACAATATTTTGCAGTAATAGATAGTCAGTGAATTATGTCATAAGTGTTGTTTTCATTACATTTTGGGAATAAATATACTGCTTTTTATAGTGAACTGTAGAACCTTTAGTAAAGGGCAACTGAAAGCATATATAGTATTCACCCAAGTTCAAAACAAAATTTTTTTCCTAAATATTTTAATTGAAAAATCAGGAGTAGTCTTATTTTTGCAGATTATGTCTAGACAGTTAGGGTTAATGTGTTTAAATTGCCTTTCCATGTCACAATACTCATAATGTTGATGTAACCATAACCTGCGAAGACGGTAAAAATATTCTGCATATCTACAATAAGTTTTTACATACATTGTCTTATTTTCTGGATTCAATGCTAATTTGATGGTCAATTCAGAGCGATGTTTTTGAATGTGCTAGTGAAAAGAGAATCTAAAATGGTATTGGCATTGTATTAAGTGTATAAGCAAGTGTAAGTGCAAGTATTATTTTATATTGTTTATAAATGATCTATATCAGAATCTGAACAACGTAGAATTCCTGCTTTATGCAGATGACTGTGAACTTTTTAAAGAAATTGAATGCTGGGATATAATCATATTATAGAATGCACTTAATAGCAGATTTGCTAAATGGTGTACCAATAATGATCTTGTTTTAAATCCCAATAAATGTAAATCTATTACTTTTTCACGCTTTGAAGTTCCCTTTGTCCTATTGATAGATTAATGCATTCTATACTGAACCGCAGAAAAAGATGATAAATTTTTCTCTGTGGTAAAAAACACGATCAGTAAACAATAGCAATTTTAAGTATATTCTATTGAACAATGTGAAAGAACTGAGAAAGAACCAGACCATCAACAAGTGTGGGATAGCAAATCTGGTGACACAGAAGGAAATGTTCTTAGATGGCATCATATGAAAGATTAAGTACAAAACATAGTATTCAACATGCAAAACATTCACAGAGGCCTAAAAAGACAGAATTGCAGCATGGAAGGAGGACCAAAATGAAAGAATCACATGAGATGATAAGGGTAGTGACAAAAACTATGATTATGACTTTAAGGAACAAGAAAATAGTGACAGCACTGGCAAAAATATTTAACATCAGCAGGGCAATTTTCTAGTGAAAGACAATTTAGAATTTTATTTTAACTGAATAGTAAGAATTAGTTAAAAACAAAAACAATTCTCAGGAAACTTCTTCAAAGTGAGGATGTTGACTTATTTGTGAAAATCTTGACTTATTTGTAAAAATCTGTTCTCTACACATACCTTGAATAGCATTTTCCACTTTCTGGGTAGGATCAGATCCATGTTCTTGAACATCCTCTTCAAATTTCTCCTTCAATACTGATAATGTATCCAACTGTTCCATAACAGAGCCAACATTTGTCTGGAAGTTAAAAGCATTCTCCAGTTAACACCAAATTATCTAAACATCTATCACAAAATATTTAAGTAATGTACAATGATATATAATTTCATATGTATTTGGATCTGAATTCAAGTTGAAACTCCTGAATTCAATGCAACAACAAATACCAAAAACAATTTTTTCCCCTTCTAGTGTGGCCTCTTATTTTGAAAACTGTACTTGGAAATCAGGTTAATAATTTTCATAATCAAATCAGTGTAAGCAATGGCAATTTAATTCTCATTTCAACAATCAGACACGGAAATTTAGTATTTACTTTACTGATTATGGACTGAAAAGTGTCATTTTTTGGTAACTATATGGCAAAGTAGACTTTGACAAACACGTACATCAAAGGACACATGGTAATATAAAATAACCAAAATATATAAAATATAAAGTAACAAAACACCGGAGTGACAGGAATCAATGGTCGCAGTCTCACATGTTGAGAATGATCCCAAGAGTAGATACCTGTAAGTTTCCATGAATTCATGCTAAAAAATAAAGTATACATCGTACAATCATATGCGTATCGTCTTCGGCATACTAATTTTAAAATGCCAGACTCAGCTTCTATCGTCATTCAACATTTCATTCATATCGCAATTTGTAACTCACTTTTGTGCTATTTACATAAATAATTGATGCAAAGGATAGAGTGGTCCAATTTGTGATTCCTCCCATTGAATAGCAACAAATATACAGACCTGCATTTAAGCAAAAACAACCCCAGAGACATGTACCAGATTGGTGGACATACAATACCAGTGACCTAGGTGTGGTTGTAAACCAAGAACCCAAATGGGACACAGAGGTTCAGCAGTTCAGTAGAGAGCAAATCCTTCACTGTACCTGATGACGAGTGTTCCCGAAAGTTAAGTCGACAGAAATGAAGAAACTGTATGTGATGTATATCAGACCAATTTTGGTATATGTCAGTTCAGTGCAGTACCCTACTATAAGAAAGACATGAAGTCTTGGAGAATGTGCAGAGAGATGAATGACACAGTCTGCTATTGATCTAGAGAACAGATTGTATGAGGAGATATGTCAGGCAGTCAAACTGCCGACTCTGGTGCAGAGGAGACAACAAAGAGATCAAATCAAAATATTTAAGATGAATTATGGAGGATATGATGAGAGGATCCTCACCAATTTCTTTGAGAGAAGTCTGGATCGTCACCTAAGGGGTCACTACATGAAGTTGCACCAAAAGAATATGAGAATAAAAAGATAAGAGCAAAATTGCTGCTGCCATTGCAAAATAAATAAATAAATGAATAAGCTATTACTGGTGTAAAACTAGAACTGAAATATGACTTCTCTACAAAAAAAATTCAAAATACTAAATGAAATTAATTTAAAGATTTCAAATTCACCACAAACCTTACCAATATGAAAATAAATGTTGAGCTTGAAACGCAAATGGCAAACGAGCAAATGGTTAATCAAAGATAATTCAAGCAACAAATAGACCAGCAGAGTGCAAAAAATTATAGTTTATTAGTATCACCATAATTATGGATTGAAATTAATTAGTTTTATGTATATTTAAATTTGCAATATCTAAAATTTGAATTCTATATCTTGAATCTTTGCAGTAAAATTAAAATTATTATTGTAATTATTCTTTTACTGAAGTACCATGAATAACACTACCAAAATGTTTTTTTCAGAATGCCTTCTTATGAAGAACACACCTTTAAGAATGATAGCTGGCCCTCCTTGTGGCCCTCCACCTTCCGACGCAAGAACGCCACACCAGCCTTCAGGTCATCAAAAGTGGTAGCATGATGATGCTCCAGCAGGAACCAGCCAGCACAGAACTGCTCCGATGCCAAATCTCCCGAGCCCTCAGGAAACAGCTCGTGAAGATCGTCCTCTGGGAACTTCTTACTGCACAAGGTAAACTGGAGGTTATTTCACAAAATGGTAGAGAAAATATTTTATTCCATGACAAAATCATTATACCAAAATGAAAATAAACATTTATTACTCTAATTATAAAACTAAAACATTAAATATGTAAATGTTGTTAGAAACAGAATTTTATAGAAACATGACTGGCATCATGATTTATACCACTTCGATGAAATTAAAACAATTTTAGAGTATTAGAATAAAATCTTCCTTTATTTCATTATAAAAATGACTCTTGAAAAATGAACTTGAAACTTGAAAAAAAACTGAAAATGGTATTTAGGAAAGAGACTACCTTGGAAACAAAAAGAAATCTGATAATCTGGAGTTCATTTGGTAAATGATCTTTAAAAAAAATGTAAAAAATGTAAATTTTGAGGATCATGATTCCACAACATTGCACTACAAAATACATGCTCAGTAAAAATATAAATTACAGAAGACAATACTTGTAAATGAATACATTTATTGCACACACCAAGAGACGACTAAAACAGAGTGGCCATAACAAATGATGCACAATGATAAATTTGATGATTATCAAATTTGGGGTAGTTCCTTTATTCCCAGAATCAGCGAAAACATCGCTTAGCAAACACATTGGCTGACTACTATTGCTGCAACTAATTTACACACTTCTGTTCTGTTTCTCAATAAATTATTTTGTTGTTTCTTCTAATGTCTACTCCAGTAACCAAGAGCATGGTATAACTCCTAGACTATGTATAACTCGGAGTGTATATATTTACTGCATGCAATTTTGATTGTCTTAGGCAACACACACTATATAATATGAGGAACTTCTACACAGAAATTCCTAATTATATTACAAACTAGTGGTCTTCCAAAAACACATACTTACTCACATTATTACAAACTTTTGCAATTTTCAAAAATTCAGAGAGTTCAACAAAAACAAGACCTGAAATTTTTTTTCTTTCGATTCTTTTGCTCTCTCTCTATGTAAACACTTGGATGTGTTTTCTAGAAAATGTTTTTTAAGTTGCATTAATTTCAAGCAGAAATTAGGTAAAAACCCAGTTTTCAAAGATCATTGTACATAACCTTTCTACAGAGTTCGCTAAAAATGGAACCAATGCCAATTTATGTGTGTTATCACTGTTTAACACTTACAAAGAAATAATATAATAAAAATTTTGGAAGTGTTTTTGAAAAAATAATTTTCAAAAATTGCCTATATTTCACAAAAAATAATCATATTTCACAAAATTGCATATGACCTTACTTTAAGATGTCATTGATCAACAGATTTCATTAAGAAAAAATTTCCTTCTTCAACATTGTAGATGTAAGAAGATGTCAAAAAAATGTGAACTTTCATAATATTCGAAAAATCAGAGATTTGAATGAAAATGAGTCATGTGCTATTCTTCTAAGCATCTGTTATGCTATCCCAGGGTAAAATTTAATTTAAAAAATTTGGAGTATTTTTTGAAAATTAACAATTTTAAAAGTGTTGTGTAGGCTTTACGTAAACAACCCCAAAAAAACAAAATATCCATTAGAAACTCGCAAGTTCTTTTAAATTGACCGGGGAATATCAATTTTGGAGAAAATCACCTAAAAGGTCTAGGTACTAACATTTGTCACATAAATGGACAGACGCCAATAGATTGTTCGGTTTCAATGACCCACTAAACATGGATTAATTAGAGTAATTTACTGCTCATAGGAACAAGATTTATATGCTCTTCTGTTACCAGGGCCCAACAATAAGAGTTTTTCTGTCCAAAAATTTCAAATTTCTGGCACATGATTATAATATTTTCTCTTCTTATAAAGAAAGGTGAGAAAGTTAATAGAAACAATATCTTTTTTTACTTATTTATGCTGAAGTTAAAACCATATTAGCTGATTTGGAATAAGGCAAATTCAATTCAATTCAATTCAATTTGGAGTCGTATTTCAGGACGACAATTTTATGTTGTCATATTCTCAACCACTTACTAAATGTACCATCAATTGCCTCTTTTCACCAGTTCAAAATGTCGTAAAACATACTCATTGCCTTCCACAGAGAGTCCCAATGGATCCTCCTGCTGATAGCCTGTAGGTGACAATGAACGTCGGCTCCATACTAGGGTCTGTAATGGTGCTTCCTCGACCCAGACAGCACTCTCCTTCATTGGGCCAATGGTTTCATGGTATCCTGCACACAATAAAGATTATTTAAATTGATTGTATTACATAGAAAAGACCAGTAACAAAATTCAATACTCAAAATATGAATGAAAGGAATAGAAAGATACTAGTAAAAACTTCAAAATGGTATTCATGCGAGTCAAATTCTCTCACCTCGGAATTGTACTGTGGAAGTACCTTTCCCTCCAGAACGTGTTATCACTATTATATCTCCTCGACCTTTGCCTGGTCCTGACCGAGCAAGGATTTTCTTTGGTGATTTCCATTCAGCAGAGAGATGACAGTCACATCCACATATGGTTAAACCTGTCACAGGAATAAATGACTTGAAAAATCTATCTCAGAAGAAAATGACAGTTTAATAGAACACAAGTGATATAATAATACCACATCAAAAACCTTCCTGTAAACAGGAACTGTGCACTGACAGTTGCATTGACAGATGGTAAACATGAACATGATCATTTAGGCCAAGCTGAAGCTTGCCAACGAATAAAAATTACCAGAAAATGGTTTCAGCAAAATAGCGAATATATGTATTCAAGAATATGTAAAAGTAAAGCAATATCAAGAACTGCAATCCTTTGAATCACAAGCAGAGAGAAGGCCGGCTCACCAATAAGGTCAGTGGGCCCCGTGCCCAGAAAGTCACCGCGCACGGTGACCAACGTTCCCGGAGGCCCTTCTTTAGGCGATACCCCCGTCACCAGAGGCGGGGGCGCCATCTCGAAGCCGAAACACCTCTTCCCAACTTTATTCGGTTTGACGTGCACCACCAACCTCAGCTGACGAGGGCGTCCATGTCTGATGACCACTGCCCACCAGAGAATACCGAGCTGCGGAACTGCTTGCCGACATCAGTAGCGTCTGCTCCTCTCGACGTGAGAAGGCGGTGGTCCTGGAAAGAGGCGGGATGTTCAAATGTGCGTCAGGCACCTCGCCACTGCTTAGATTAGTCTCGTTGGCATCTGATAAGGAGAATGGAATGAAAGGGTGAAGAGAAGAGCAGTGTGTAAGAGATTTGTCCAACAATACAATTTATCATGAAAGCATAATAGAACACTGTTCTGGCCGGTATTCACAAACTTCGTAGGGAGAATAAAACAGGCAATCATCAAACTGCCAGGAACGAGAAACTTGCTAAAAATTTTCAAGATAAATACGATTCAACATTGAGTTTGAGATATGCAGAATCGTATGTGGGAACGTTCTTATGCTTCTCGCCGGAAAGAGATGAAGTCAACTGGTAATATTAGTGGGTAGGAAACAACGAGGATTGGCCTGAAAGAGTTATTGGCGCGAGCGGCTTCCTCATTCTGCGTCGGCAACAACCCAATAGCGAGGACGCCGCGCCGTCCGCGGCGCGTGCAGCGGGGCGGGTGGGGGGAGGGGGTGGGGAGAGAAGGTCGAGACCGCGAGTTCTCCGGTTTCCCGACGGACGCAGATGCTGCTAATTGCCTCGCGCGCCCCGTGTCGCTTTCCACACTCGTCCGGCTCGGCTCGCACCGCGCAGGCGCCGCCTCAGCCCTCTGGAGACATTCACAAGCCCGTCTCTTTAATTGCGATCGGCGCCTCACAACCAATGGTAACGTGTCAGTCAGCCTTGCCGTTATACTTGTCCATCTTGCCTTGCCTGTGATCGAGAGGGAAGTAATTATTTATGGGAAAAAATAATAGTAGCAGAAAGAACTGTGGGAAATGATAATAACTGGAGCAGTTTTTAAGAAACTCTTGTTTTTAAAATCGCCCCTAGCATTCAAAATTTCGCGATAACTATTAATATGTTTTAAAAAATGTATATGAGTTCAATTAAAGAACTAATTATAGAGAAACCAATTTTTTTCAAAAAAATCATCTTCATTAATCGTACGAAAAGGCAAATATCAAATTTTGAAAATTTAGAGTTAACAATGAAAATCAGACATTTGCTATCATTATAAATGAATTTCACAACATTCTTACAGAAATTTGCAGAAACAATTTGGAACTATTTTTAGAAAATTTCACAGAGGCATCATGTAAAGTAGCCCCAAAATTTAAAGAACGCTTTCCAAAATCGCAGGGTGGTGAGTCAAGTCAGGTCGATCGGATATATTCATTACAGCAAAAATCTCACGAAAAATTTAGGCGCTAGTGTTACTCAAGACGGGCAGATGGAAAGACAGACATTTTGAAGAAAAAAAACAAACAAACACTTTTTCGATATCAGGGGACTCCAAAACGAGTACTTCCGTTTTGAACCAACGAAATTACGAAATTCCCCCCTCCCGCAGGATTACATCCTTTCTTTTTACTACGTATGGACACGCCGCTATAGCAATACGTATTTACTTATACCGTATAGCTACATACCGTAAAGTAAACTAGTGGTGTATAGGAGAATGGCACAGATTTTTCCTGATTAGTTAGTTTCGTAATCTCTTTCGTCTCTGGGCTAGCTTTTTGGTTTTGCTCCCATCCTCATCCCAGCTGCTTACTATCGACACCCAAGAAACTTTTTTTTAAACATTTTCTCAATTTTTCGATCCCCTGATAGCAGAATAGAATAGATAGTAATCACCTACTTACACGCATTATTTCATTTTTTACAATTTTTTTACGTTCTTTACAATTTTTTTAGAAAGGTAGTTCATCGACAATGCGCCATATGTTGTTTAAGAGTTATCTGCTCTATCAGAGAAATTAAATTAAAGAAAACAATTGGAACAGTTTTTAGAAGAAAAAATAATAGAATTTACATCATGCAACAATTACGCGAAAACTACTTCTTAAAAAAAATTGTACATAATTCTACTTGAAGAACCAATTTTTTATAACAGATTTGTTTTAGATAAGAAAACAAGGTGCCTTACCAGATTGTCCAGTTTGCTTTATATGTCACGTTTCATATACGCGCTACCCTGGCATACAAAGATCATGGCACATTTAGCTTACTGTTAATTTTGAAACTTAAGTATGTTAATGGAAGTGTAAGCTATATCTTATATTTCAATAGAAAGAATGTTGTATCTCACATTTAACAAAAATCACAAGGGGTCACAAGTTATCATTTTAATATTTTGACACGAAAAATTCAAATTTGTCTGTATATTATTCATACAATTTAATCTATTTCTCATCTCGTTGTAAAATTTCCTGTTAAGTTCTTCAGAATATTTTCTTACATTATTGAGTTTTACTAGATGATAATACTACGTGTTCTTCATACGACTTTATCTAATCATCATCTCTTTGTAAAATTTTCTGTTCAGTTCTTCGGAATATTTTCTTACATTATTGAGTTTTAGTTCACAAATTTTGAATTTTTATGAGGGACAGGTATCGACCTTTAAAAACAGGGAAAATACATTCAATAATCACAAACTTTCAAGTGCGAGTTTTTCCTCCGAAAAAAGGCACTTTTCGCAGCAGCATTACGTAACTTTATTTAGTCATATGTAAACAAAGTATAAGCTAAAGTACGTTTTACTCCCTATATACGTACATAAAAGAGAAAGTAAAAACAATGAATTTCGTATGGAAGTTACCAATTTGGATCTTATTTTAAAAAATCTTTGGTAATTCCATTGATATTTAATTATTATCGGCTATTTTAATATACTCTTAGGAATTGCTTCGTCGTTTTTTTAAGTGTTCAGTGCATATTCAATACGTATTTGGCAGTTTCTTGCGAAATACTGCCACGTGGGCGTGCAAGTGCGAGTGCTCCGGGGCGAGCGGGAGGCCGGTCGCAGCTTGCAGGCCGGAGGTGCGAAGAGAGGCCGGCGCGGCGCGGCGCGGCGCGAGGGCGCTCTGGCTCTGGGGCCCTTCCGGCGCGGCCACGCCGCCGCTCAATCGCCGCTGATTGATATGACATTCGCCGCCGCCCCGCCCCGCCCCCTCCCGCGCTGGGCGCGCTGCCAGCGTTCCACTGCCCCTGCCCTGCCGCGCCCTGCGCCCTCCGACGCGCGATGCGCCGGGCAGGTGCCCGGCCGTTCGCCGTCGCCCGCCCGGCCGCGCGCCCCGGGGCGGGGGCGGCCCGGCGGCGGGGCGGAGGGGCGGTGCAGCGTCCTACCGCATGTGCGGCGGCGCTGCGCCAGGCCCGCGGCGGCGGGCGCTGCGCAGCTGCGGGCGCGCGAGCCGGAGTCGGCGTCGGAGGCGGCGAATTGGCCGCAATTGGCGCGCGCGGCGCCGTTCGCTGCCGTGGTCGGTGCGGCGAGGCGAGGCGGCGTTGGCGGTCGCGGCTTCCTAATCAGCGGCGGCGGAGGCGCCCACGCGCCCTGCCGCGGGCCGCCGCACCGCCTTATCGCGCGCTATCTGCCGCCGTTATCTGCGCGGTCACCTGGCGCAGTCACGCGCGCTGGACGGTCCGGCCGGGGCGAGTCTGGGGCGGGGCGCGGGGGGGGAGCGGGCGTCGGGGCTCCTCGGCGGCGGGCCGGGGGCGGGGAGGGCGGGGCCTGCGTCTCGGTGGCGATGATCAGTGATGCGCGAGGCGCGATGGCGCGCAGGCGGGCGAGCAGCACGCTGGAGGCGAGCAGCGCGCGCGACTACCCCGAGCACCTCAACCCGTTCGCGACGACGCCGACGTCGCCATCGACGCATGACGACGACGACGTGCAGCTGCGCGGCTACGGCACCCTGGGCCGCCTGCGCCGCCGCGCCTCCTTCGCCAGCACCTGGTGAGCCCCGCCCCCCCATCGTTAAAGAGCGCGTAGGCGGGGGGGTGTCGCGTGGCGGAAGGTAACACCTCCAACTCTTAGGGACGCCTCCTCTGGCCCACCCGCGAGAGGCCCTCGCACCCGCGGAGCCGGGGCCCCGCCCTCCACGCCCAGGGCAGCGCCGCTCGATAGCGCGTTTGCCGGTGGGCGCTCCCTGGGCGCGTGCCCCGCCCTCGGGTGGAAGCGCTACGCGTGCCCCTTCCCACGTGCGCCGCCTCTCCGGCGCTTCCTGGCCGCGGAAGCGCGTCTGGGCTTCACTTCCGCGCTGCCCTTCTCGTACACTTCCTTCTCGACGTGAATTTGAACATCTCTGTGTTGAAGACGTCTCTTTCTTGAAGGTCGCCGCCTTCGCTATAATGTATTTCTTCCGTTAAAAATCTCTAGCAATGTTTTGGAGGATAAGTAGTGAAATAATATGGTTTCGCATCACATCTGCTTACCTTTGAAGTAGTCGGAACAATCACTGAAGTATCATCACTTTCTACCTTGCTATTCAAATGGCGGTAGTTTTTTCGACAATATACAAAATCAAACAAAACCTTAATGCTGTATTTGTAAAGAGTTATGTTGAACAAAAGTTGTTTCCGTGCTTTATTGTTCTGTGGCTTCCACAGTCTTAATAATAGTTTTATTGTGATTGCTAGAAAAAATGAAGAAAATGTTAATGCTGTGTTCGTAATGAATTATGCTAAAGTACGTTATTGTTATGTCAGTAATTATAATATCACGCAGATCAGCCACCAATCAATAAATCTGACTTTGATTACCATACTTTACAATTTCTGAATTTTGTAAATAGTAAATTAATTTTTAAAAAGTGCCAATTTTAGTGCACAAAAGTTTATTCCATTGATAATTGAAACATTTTACGCATGTAATGATAATATTGTTTATTTATAATACTGAATTTGTTTGAAATCAAAAGAATATATTCTGAGATTTGCTTCATTTAATTGTGGAAGATATGCCTGGGCCTTTAAAAAATCAATGGAACATTGTCTAACATAATAATTGGTGTATGCGAGACCAAACGCTTAGAACTTTTACTCATTCTATTTAAACGAATTTTGTTTGGCACCGTTTAAGTGAATAAATCCACCGCAAGCTGCATTTATGTGTTTTATGAAGCTCTTGACTGCTCCCCGATAAGGTAGCCTCGCCCCTGGAAAGGGCTTGGAGACGGGAGTGCCGACAACTTGTCCGAAGTCTCATTGCTCTTATCTCGTCGCTGAAAGATGTTACATGAAAAACGTAATGCGAAGTCGCATGGCTTAATAATGAGTGCTCTCAGAGAACCAAGTCCAAGTGCAGTTGTGTTTTTTAAACGGCACGTGTTGATGCAATTACAGAATTACGATGTCCTTTTCTATCTGTTCAACACAAAACTACTCGTGTGTAACATCTTATCGGTGTTGCGCTTTTCAATAATTTTAACTACGCATTTTTTCAGCTAATTCATTTATCTCCATTTGCAATGCGAAAAAACAATGGTACTATGTTTAGAGAAAAAGGACTAACAAACCAATAAAGTGTTTATCGAATAATTTCTAGTTTTATACTACATTGTACAATATCTAACAGTATTATTAATAATAATATTATTGCACTAGTTGTTGTTATAGAGAAGACAGCTGACAAGGAAATAAAACAAATTGATGCTGCAAAATTAAATTGCCCTGGAGTGATTCCTTTCATGTTGAATTTTCGTTGAAAGGATTCTCAGCCAAATTAGGTTCTGCCTCGGTCTTGTTTGAAGGGGCGGATCGAGAGCCAAGCGAAGTCTCAATGCGCACGTTCATTTACTCCACGTTCGCCTTTCCTTTTCCTTCTCCAGAGGAATTTTATTCCTACGCGGGGTTCCACTTAGCTCTCAGCGCTCTTGGTTATTTTCACATATATCTTCATTGACTCGACTTATGCTGAAACTGGATTTCCTGCCTCGAGAACATTAGTATGTGGAGCGTTTTGCAAACGCACTGGAGTGATGACAAGCCCACCCGCATCTATATTACTGGAGATATCATGTCTAGTGCAGACGGAGGAAAAATCTTGTTTTTTTTCTTCTTATTTTCAGATAGGGCTTTCATGGTGTTTTCGTTCGGCATGAATCTAGTCACATGATAGGAAAAGAATGTGTGATGGACGCTCTCGTTTAGAACGTCGATTGCCGTAAAAGAAACGAAGAAGGTCCTGATTGCAAAAGACACTGGGCGAGAGCGGGCGCCGATAAGCCGCTTTGATTGGGCGTTGGCTCGTGATTCACATGGGACGGCTGTCGCGTTCTCACATTCGACACCGCTCTGCGAATCTAATGTTGATCGCGGACAAACAAATGTTGAGATACTCTACCCATTTTTGGCTTTCCTTCTGACCAAAGAATAATGATCTATCTTCGCAAGTTTAATTGAGATTTCATTTTGCAGGATGCTAAGTGAAAATAGAGTTTCGTCGGGTAGTTAACGCACGAGCCTAAAGAGCCCCGAGCTCTCCATGTTCAAAAGCCCCGATAGTTCTTAAAAAAGAAATTTAAATCGATTTTTTCAAAAATAAAATAAAAAACATAAAAAAGTGATGTTTGATTATACTATACGCAAAAAAGTGTCATAGTAAAGTGATGTGTCACGCATTATTGAGTAATATTTATAATATGGAATGATGCTGGTTGATGCAAGAATATCACAAAGTGATGAGAAGTTTAGTTTTTTTAACAAAACTTGTCTTTAAATTGGAGGGAGGGGAAAGATCAGGGGAAAGTAAGAACGGGAGGGGGAGCAAACTAACGTATAGGTCTAAGGGCCCCCAAAACTTTTAAAACTGCCCTGAGTTTAGTTTTAGTTATCCGTAAAATTTTAAACGGTAATATTTCTGCAAGACTGTCAACTAGGAGTCATTAAAAATACGTTCGTTTTTAGGAGGGGTTTTCAAAATCGCAAAAAAAAAAAAAGAACGAAGCAGTCACAGGATTGATGAAAAATTAGTTTTCGCAACATACTAGCCTCTAAGCGACAAGTATACGTTTAATCTTTAACTAGAAACGAGTGTTAATAAACTATCTCGTGATTAAATTTGAAAAATTATTTTAAAATCTTTTTCGTTTAGTTAATTAAATAAGCTCATTAATTCCATGAAAAATCGTTGATTATCACTGTGCTTATGACATGCGCGCAATTAAAACTCAATCGTGAAATTAAAAGTCCACAACAGCCAATCAGAACTCAGAGAACTGATTGAAATCGTTTAATTAAGTATCTATAATACTGACGTTTCCAGATGGCCATGAAACATGAACAAAAATGTACATCACATATTACGTACGTATAATGTATATCACATATTACATCAAAATCATATAATTAATGGACGAATGAAACAAAACTATAAAGGAATAATTATTACTGCTTCATAGACAATCATGTTAATATGCATAGTACAATAAGTGAAATGTAAATTGTATGTAAATTACTAAAATACGTAGCGTAGTTAGAATCCACCTTTGACTGTTTTTTAATACCAAAAAAGCCTATTTTTCTCATTTAAAACGTCCATCCGCCTGTGAACAAAGCGAGCGCCAAAACTATTCATTTGATTTTTGTTTTCCAAAATTACTATTTCCCATTCGATCTGGCCCTACTTAAAGCCATGCAATTTTGTAAAGATTTCTTTAAATTTTAGGAGTACACACTTCACATGAAGCCCCGGGACATTTTCAAAATTTTCTCAAAAATGGTACCAATATTTTTCTTTAAATTTTATTAAAATTGAACAGTTTACACTAAAGAAATCTATTAATACCAATCGTGAAGGGTCAGTCGAATTTGAGGTTAAATTATCGTGCAGTTACAGAGGATAATATCTGATGCTTCAAGATCTTAAATATAGAAAGCAGATATATGAAGTAATAGACACATATGAAGGATATATGACCTGCTATACCAATATATTTTATGTATCTTAGAAATAGAAATGTAAAATACATTATTTTAATAGTACCTGAGAGGTAACAGTAGGGCGAGAAGAAAAAAGTGATCTTGAAGATATAAAATTCCAACGTATGGATAACAAAAACTAATGATGCTCCAACAGCACATACTTTCTTGCATTATTTCTAAATTTAGAGTTTACGAAATTATGAGAACTCGTTAAAAATTAATAATAAAAATTATAAATAGAACACTTAGTATTTCATAACTATTAGCTCTATTCGATTTTATATACGATTCTAGTAACTTCATAACCTTTCTTAATCTGTCGTGTCAATTAAAGGTTAAAGGAACCGGTGTCTGCTTAAGACATGTTTCACTGTACTTCATCGCATTTATTTGCATTGGTATTGTAAGACTACTTCAACACACAAAGCTTCTTTCAACCAATAAAAATGTTTTTTTGCACACTAGGATTCAAACTCATCATTTCTAGTAGGGATTCAACACTATTAGTAGGAATTCACGCTATCCCTCCCCCCTCGTCCTCGGAAGTAAAACAACTCTCTCGACTGTTTAAAAAGAAAGTTGATGATTTGCAAGTTCAACTTTCAAAACTTCAGATAATTTATACGTCATTGTTTCAAGATTTAATTTTGAAGAGATTTCATTAAGAAAACAAATCTCAGTTTTCTCCTATTGTAGTTTTAGGAAGAAGGTACGAAATATCTGAATTTATGAAAATTGAACTTGCAAATCATCTTTAGAACATTTTTTAACTTTTGCCGTTTTCGAAAATTTCCGTGAATTCAAGAAAAATCATACCTATGCCACTTTTATAAGAGTACTTTGCACTAAAATAATACAGAAAATTTGGAGGCATCTTTGAGAAACCTTTTGAAATGAACCTTGTAACTTCATGTGAACTACCCCCCTCAAAAAAAATAAAAATAATAATTTCAAATTCGACGGGCCTTGACATTAGTCAGTTCGATCGGGGAATATCAATTTTGGTGAAAATCCTACTTACGGTTTAGCCGCTAGTGGATTTTACAGAAAGACAGATTCTGTCGGTAATCTTTCGCTATCGAGGTCACACAAGATCACACAACGTTTTAGAATTATGTATTAATGTATCTTCTTGGCGCGACAGCCGGTGAAAGGG